TGTGTAGGGCCAGAAGATTTTTCTTGTCCATCTTACACATTTACAAATCTAGCATTCATCCATGCATTGAATACTGTTGCCATATCTGGTCTGGTGCCCCTGCTGTTTATCTCGAGGTTCTCGAAAAATGCAAACAAGTATCTGCAATATGACTGATCCTGACTTGACATCTCGACTTCAGTCATACTCTCTTTCTGCAAATATTTTCATGGCAACTGTTTTGATAACCTATTTTCCTTGATACTCCGATTACATTAATGTAAGCGTGCTACTAGATTGACATTTAGGTCCCACCCTTTTATTGTTGGAATAGTTAAATGTAACCACTGCGTCTACTCTAGTAGTTTCTTTTCTCGCGCTCTTCGGTAGTAGAACTCCCTTCCTCGTACTTGCACCCCTGATAACTATAGTGTTCAAAAATTTAAATACAACGCCAATCGTCATTTTCTGTTGCCTTGATCCCCGTTCTTCAATCCTTTCCTCAATCTCCTCCATACATAATCTTTTCCCTCACTTTCACTCTCTGTAATCCTCTAGGTGCTAATGGCTCACCCGCTTTGATTCGGGTTAGATATCTCCAAAATTGTATGCACACTTTCTTTAGAAGCTATGATATAAATACAGGATATGATAGAGGAACTAGCTCAAATATGTTGATATGAACCTGATGAAAAATAATCTGACGTGGACTGGGCCGTTATTACGACTTATGATACTAGACTTTCTGGTTTTATTCATTTTTTTTTTATTATTTGTCGGATTTCGTTCCAAATTTAAGTTTCCTTAGAGATATTCAGACATTTCTAATGGCACCGGGCGTAAACCTGACCTAATTAAACGTGCTAAAAATATTGAAACAGTTTAAATATCGAGTCAGAAAGTTTTGTTCTGGCGTAGTTAAACTTTGTGACATTAAATAATTTATCTAAACAGTCCGTTCTGAGACTTTATACTGGAACCATGAAATTGGTACTCTAAATCTTTGACTTGATGTCGACATATATAACAATAATCATACAATAGAAAATATATGAGAAATACGACAATCTTACGTGGTTTTTCAGGTTAAAAGTACTTCTGTCAAGAAAAGTTCAAATAACTTATCTGGTTAGCCAACTTTCACATCGAAACGCTTATCAAGGCCAGAATATAAAGATGGAATCTGATAATATGTTCAATAGATTCACAAACATTTATCACCGATGATCATTTCAATGCGAATCTCTTGAATCGGATAAACGAGATAAATCATTTGGATTTTTCTTAATTTATTGAAAATACATAAGAGAAAGTGTGTGCGAGTAAAATTTATGTTTTTTATTGCTATCAGTTGATTGTGCGCAATTTGGGCTAAGAAAATCTTGAATATCTATCTATATTTCTGAGTAATTTAAAACTTTATTTAAACTTTATATTGTTCAGGTTGTTGTCGTCATCTTGTCATATTCACGAACTTTCGGCGGTTGTACGCGCCGACCTTCTTCAGGTGATATACATTGTAATTTCAAACCGAAAGCTTTATTTAGTCTAAGGGGTAAATTGTTCTAGTTCCAAGTGCCATGCCTTTTCAGGATATCCCAGTTTCAGTTAATTCCCTTTAGTAACTGAGGACAACAGTGCGAACAATGTAAATAATGTAACAAATCTTAAATACTGTAGCGAGTGAGCCGTGTGAGACTGTAAAAGTACTGTCCATTGAATTACGTAAATTGGCACCAAAAAATCACAAAGTGGAAGATGATATAATCAAGACGTTGTCTTTCTACATTTTCTTTAAACAAAATGCTAGACAGGAAATTTCTATCAATACTAGACAGAGCGATAACTGTTAGTGGACTTCAGAAACACATGTCCGTGAAAATTTCAATAAGAGAAACATTTAATAATTGTCAACTAACAATAACTCTAACTGTTCGGTCAATGAATGCCAAGTCTTTCCTTATAAAGAAACAGCTAATCTCGCCATTTTGTACACATTTGCATGCAGACAAACACACACACACACACACATATATATATATATATATATATATATATATATATATATATATATATATATATATATATATATATATATAATAATACTTGTCAGTTCATTTTTTATGCAGAAGAATTACTATTGAAAAAAGGAACCGGTAGTTTTAAATGTATTCAAGTAGACATGCGGATACTTCAGATTAGATCTGTTTTTGATCTTATCAGAGATCTGGTTTGAAGTAAAGGAAGTCAATTACTGCAGCTTCCTGTTTTGGAGCGTGTTAACGGATATTAACAATTACACGATTCAACAAACTACGGTTATAACAAATGAAGACACCACTTACGGTGGAATACCATAAGTGCAAATAGGTGGAATATATATATATATATATATATATATATATATATATATATATATATATATGCTTTGTTTACATGACTTTTATGCAGACATTTTGTATATGGAGGTATCGTAGCGATTAGCAGCGCAGAAGGTAGAATATGCGTGCTGAATTAAAATTCTACCAATCTGCGTCGTTCACGCCGAACTAATATCGCGGGAAAAGGCAAATGGTTAGATAGCAGGACAAATTTGGCTTTCTTGCCTCAAACGATTGCCAGTTTAGAAAAAGGAAAACTGAATTCAAACCATTATAAATAATAGGGAAGACTGGTCTTTGTTGCTTTGATAAGTATTCCTCACGTGAAAAATAACAACGCTGAATTCAAACTCAAAGACAAAAACGCTTTCCTGTTTTGAACGAGTCAATTTCTAAAGGGAAAACTCTTAATTCAATCCCTTGTAAATAATAAGGGAGACTGATTTCTGTGACCGTGATATATCATCCTGTCGAGAAAAATGACAACGCTGAATTCAAAAAACATCTGATGAGATATGTGCTCCGTAAAAGTCTCTTGCCCTAGACACGCTTAATACGTCGACAGTTGTATTAGACACGGTGGACCCAACAGGTTATGGAACTCGTGATCGTGATGATACTGAACACTTGAAGATAAGGATATTTTTTCCTCTAAATGTTTTATCATTTTATTTATTTACTTTTTGTTTTATTAACTTTCAAGTGATAACCTTAGTTGCTTTAAACCAAGAATGTGAATGCTTATTTGAGTGACAACTTGAATATACCGTTTAAATTAATTTTATGACTGATGCGATTATCTTTTCCATAACAGACGGACAAGTAACTAGTGTAGCGATGCCTGAACGTGCTAGTGAAGAGACAATTTTAGAAGACATGCGAGAAGGATTCGGGTAGGGATTTAATTTCTGGCTTCCAATGCGTGACACCCTAATCGTGGGAAAATTTATTTCCCACAGAATGTATTCCTAGCTTATTATATTCTAGCTAGCCAAAAACACTGAGAATATCATGTAGTGTTAGTGGAAGTATTGTGTGAGCTACAGATGATTTATCAAAAGGGATTTTTTCTCCAATCTTGAAAGAAGAATTGGGATTGAAACTCTTTAAAACGTTTTACTTTAACTAGCCCTCTATCATAAATGTAAAACTTTTTTTAAAATTCTCTTCTGAAGCGTTTTTCCAACTGCTGAATTGTGATAAAGTTCCTTTTCTTTAAATATGAGCGTATTATCTATATTCTTGGAATTAAATCAAGTAAACTTTCTCTCTCTCTCTCTCTCTCTCTCTATCTCTCTCTCTCATCCAATCTCCAAAACTAAATTGAAACCGTAGAGAAGTTAACGGAAAACCCTTTCATCTTTCCTATGAGCAATCAAGGTAATGCATAGTTTTCATGTATTAAAGAGTGGAAGCTGTGGAGAGTCATGATCGTCTACAAACTGAATGGAAATGCCAGTTAAAAAGAAAAGAGAATGTCGTGTATAATCGAAGCATCGCCTGATTAATTGTAGCTTGGAAAATATACTTCATGCGGCATTTTCTAATGTCCACCCAACGCAAGGCCTCTGTAAAACCACACTTCAATTGCTTCAAGTCTCTTCTTCATCTGTAAGAAGACTGTCCAGCGTTCATATAAACTAGTGCTTCCTAAAATTTTATTACTCGGTACTCCTTTTCAGTCAACTTTTATGTTAATATTGTACTGATAAAAGGAGCATTGTTAATGTTACATGTTTACGTATTGTTGAAGCGCCAGTAGTTAGGCTGTTACGGAACAGCTAAATGACGATTACCATATCGGACAATCTAAGCTGTTGGACTTTGATATGCATGTTTTTTTCCTATACATTACAAATGCAACATGATGTTTAAAATAGTCCAAAAAGATAATTGAAAGTATATGTAAAACGTCTGACCCTATTTCAAATTTATTTCGAATATAGTTAATATTATAGCGTCTCCCAAGTAGCCAAAATGCCTCTGAGCACGTCCTGTCGCCTTGAGAATTCACAGCACCTCCAAAATGGACGTTCCTGCCCATGTCAAGAATCACTGATGTAGAGCATAATTAAATGAAAGTTTTAGTCTTTGACTTGTTTTATCGAAGCCATGCAACTTCACATCTTTAAAAGATCTACAAGAAGAAAGCAAGTAACTAAAAATAAGATTATTTAATCACAATTAAATGTTCGAATGCCTGGATTTAATGAATGTTTATTCATAGAAATAGTGTCGATCTTTATGCAGTAATACAGACTTATCAATTTTACACATAAATTCTGCCCATTACAAAATTGCTTTGAATGTACTGAATGGAAAATATTTTAGCTACAAATAATAAAATTGATTTAATAAAGACAGTATGCAAACGAATGGAGTTAAGTTTTGGTATTTACGTAATTTTGTAAGGTTAAATAGATTCAAACATTAACACATCAACATTTTCCAAAAATTAACTTTTCCTCGAATTATTTTAAAGTCAAGCAAAATTAGAGAAAATATTTATCATTAGTTGAAGGAAGTTGCAACTGTTTTGCTCATGCAAACAAACAGATTTAATAAAAGGTGTTTTACTCGTCTTTTCAAAGAACCATCGCTCACAAAACATTATTTGGATAATTTAGCGTCTTATACATGATGTTCTTAATACAAATTTCTATCTATCCATTCTTCAACCCTCGTTATGTGTATTCAGTGCGAAACAAAAAATAAATGTATTTTACCAGGAAAATAACTTTTTTTGCAGAATGTTTTTCACGAAAACTTTTCAAATTAAAACCGTTCAAAAAAAAAGTGCGATGCAATTTATGGCGGCTTTGAATGAGAGATCGGTGACCCAAGTTCGTTTCATTAATACTAATTACATTTGGGAAAGGTATGAATCTTCTTCTCCTTCATAAGCTATGGGTTGAATAACAGGATAGATTAGGCTCTCTATCTACGGTTGGCAACCAGTTTAGGAGAAGGAAAATTCTGAATTCAAAACCGTAACGACAAAATCGTGGGTTGCTCTTTTACAAAGCATAGCATGCAGATTACAGGTAAGACATCGGCAGCAAAATTTTGGACATGGTCAATAGCAGAATCTAACAGACCAGATTTGGCATAGAACTACAATGGTGTCATGCAAAAAGACCCTACATGATGGACAATCGATGAGACGTAATTATTCGTAGTAAGATGGAACACATAGATTAACGCTTTATGTCTCATAATATATGCGCAACTGAAACTCCTATGATTATACACATAAAAGAACATGTTTGTTTAGCGGCATATCAAGATCTTGTGGGTCATTTAATGCCGAAATTTAATTTTCTTGGTAGCATTAGTAATTTTCTTTATAAAAATATATTGCTGGCATTTTTTTCTCCAAGAATGTATTGCTGGTAATTTTTTACTTTGAAAATACATTGCTGGTATTGTACCTATCAAAAATGTATTTTTATACTTTCATAGTGTTTTGACCCAAGTTCGGAGGTTAACTATTTACTTATAGCTGAGACCCTAACATGTGCAACCTCCCCTGGTCAGGATGGACCTGGGAACAACAACAATTAAGAGGTGGTTCCACGCTCCTCAAATCCTCCTGATCAAAGTCCTTGATGTCGGATGTAGTTTATTGTCATACACAAGACAACTTGTATTTAGTACACAAGAGTAAGCATATACGAGCGTCTGCTGAAAAGTTATCGGCTCGACCAAGAAAGGATTTGAAAATAATTTCTGATGTTTTGTCATTTGGTTAAACTCAGGAAATAATGATGAAGTGAATGCTGGCGCATCTCCTCACTGACGAAGATGAAACTCGAGACAACAGAAATGTGGTTCTACAGAATTGATGCTGAGAATACCGTGAACGGAGCGTGTAAACAACGAAGAAATGCTAAGGAAAATGGAAGAAAAAAAGACGGCTGAAATTTCTTTGATACATGATGAGGAATGAAAGCTTGGAGAATTTGACACTCACAGGTCAGATCGAAGGCAAGTGGGACAGAGAAAGTAGTGGCCCACCTACCTGACGAGCTTGTGAGAATGAATGGAATGAATAAGCAGAGGACGAGAAGCTTGTCAAAGGGACAAATGTTGCTAATGGCTACTAGGATAGAAGGTTGTGGAGAACTATGATCGTCTAATTCCTGAAGGGATACATCACATAAAAGAATCCGTGCCGAAAACGTTTCAACACTCCTTAGTAATTATTCGAGAATTTTACATTCGGTTTGAGCATGCCTAAAGATAAGCATACACTCATGTAAGATATGTACGTGGTGGTGCTAAACTTGGCCAGCTTGAGCCACTTCTCAAAATATAGACTTTTCAGCACCTCCTCATATAGGTGTACAGTAATCTACATAGGATTATAATGTTTACTTGTAAATGGATGATTTTCGAAAATATATCTATACTTGCATATGTACGTATACAACTTTCGGTGAGGTTACAAATAAGTTTATGTATCAGTTTAATAACGCTATTTGTGTAGTAATAGAACCTGTGTAAGTATTTGCATAAATACATAAAGGTATATGTAAATACATGTTTTTATAATATATCAACCATCCGATATTGTCTATCTCAGCCAAGGTCTGCTTAATGGGATCCAAATTTAACAGCTACGAGATCCAAATCTTGTCTGACAAGTGGAAAATTAATCCGACCTTCAGCCCAACTGTCTGCCGATTCGACCTTGCCTTCACTTCTTACCCTCAGAAAAATGACCCGGTCCAGAAATAAACAGAATAACATTTTGTCGGATTCCGTTCGTTTCTCTCTTTGTTATAACGTCTTGGTTTATTTTGTATTAACCAAGATCAGCATTTCGAACTGATCATGATAATCACATGATAAACAAAGTTGGATTTAGAAATATGAAATAGTCATTTTGAGTTGGAAATGGCTTGTTTTCTCAAGAACAGAATTAGCGAAATTTCTCACACTTGTTTCAATTATTGCAAAAAGGCATTCTCCAGTTCCATTTAAAGGCATTTCGAATAGTACTTGAATGTATAAAGTTATCTAGATTTTGTTAGACGAGGTATTTTAATAATTATTTCTAGTTGGTTCAGATTAATTTCCTCGTCCTTGTTGTTTTATTAGAAAGTTACGTCCGCATACACATTGCCTTCCATTTGAAAGCTTTAAATTTTAACCTTGTACTCCGATGTGAAAATGAATACCGCATAAACTCGAGTCCAGTGAGTGTTTATGATTATTTTTTATGCAAAAAAGGGGGGTATCACCCTAGGTATTTACTGTCTCCCCACTAAGACGAGTTGTTACAAGGCGTAGGGGGTTACACTATACACAGGTAATTTTTGAAGAGGTTAAAAATCACAAATCTTCAGTAAAGAATTGCACTATACACAGTTATTTTTTGAAGTGCATTTTCGGTGAAGGGTTACACTATAAACATTTATTTTTCGGTGGTGGGAATTCATGCAAAGAATTCAGATGTTGCACTATACATCAAATCGGCTTATACACGAGTATATATGGTACGTTTTAGATTTATAAAAACGAATTTTTTTAATAATTTATTAAATCTAGCATCTGTCGTATTTCCTGGCATAAACGACTAAATTCTGTTCCCCAAAAAAGACTCCACCAAGAATCATCTATTCCGATGTTTGGATTACCTGTAGTAGATTAAAAGATAAATACCTCTCTGACATATTAATCGCCTGATATTTTCAAAATTAAATAAATATGATTATAAATAATTAAATTATAATTCGAAATCTAAATAATGTTAAAATTTAAAAAAAAAAACACCGTTACATAAGCTTGAAAACATTAGTATTATTTTGTTATTGTAATGAAAAAGAATGTTCTCGTATATTGTAAAGTGCCAATTTTCAGAATCCATTCGTTTATTTCCTTTTTTTTTTTAATTTGTGTCAGATCAGTGATTGGTCAATGTCAAAAGAAATTGAGAAATTTTCAACTTTTGAACTTTGAGCCGTCATGAAGTCCCCGTTCATGCAAACGAGAAACTCCAAAGAAAATGTATGAATACACGATGCAAACACTGGGTGACAAATGGCCATCATATTCAACTGTGAAGAAGTGGTGTGCCAATTTCCATCATGGAGATTTTGAGACCCAAGTTGCAGCACTACTTGGAAAGCCTTCAACGATGTCAACTCCTGAAATTGATGGTCATGTTTATCACGTAATTTTGGCCGATCGACAAATCTCAACCAAAAGAATTGCTGAGACATTAAAGATATCCAAGAAACACCTTGTGATTATAATTCATGAGCAGTTGGGTATGCAGAGACTGTCAGCGAAGCGGATGCCAAAATGTCCGAATGTCGACCGCAAACGATAACGAGTGGACACACCTTTGCAGTCGAATTTGCAGTATATTCAGCAATCTAATGGCAAAATTGGGAACGATTTGTTACTGATAAATTTCAATCACCTGAAGAAGGCCGAAGAGTACAACGGCCGAAACGTCGTGAATATGGCAATAAAGATAGGGATAACATTCCGGACATTGTAAATTGGGTAAATAATGTTCAAATGGATTTAAAAAAAAAAAAACTAATGCAGAATACTACTCTAATTTGTTGTGCCAATAAAACGAATAGTTTAGAGAAAAACGACAAAGGAAATTGCCGAGAGAATTTCAGCACTATATGCATTTACTTGACCCCCACTTAATGAGGTTGTGACACAAGGTCGCTTTTTAACGTGTGGGCCCGAGTGTCTTGACTCGGACCGCTGGTCTTAGCTGGTCAGAGCCGGTCCAAGCTAGTCATAGCCTACCAGCGCAAGCAGGGATCCCTGTAACCAGTAAGTATCAGGATGTGTATACAACTCGAGAGAGTAATTCACGCATTCAATGAACGAAAGAGATAGTGGTTTTCCAAGCGTAGCTTAGATGTGGCACAAGACCGAAAGTGTGGGGCACCCAGTGAGGATCGAACTCACTACTGAGTCGTAACTGATCTAGCGAGACAAGCTTGCTAATCATTACACCGCCTTGAGGTGCCCTTAAAAGAAGTGATTTTTCAAGCTTAGCTTAGATGTGGCACAAGGCCGAAAGCAGGAGGCACCCAGTGAGGATCGAACTCACTACTGAGTCGTAATTGTTCTAGCGAGACAAGCTTCCTCACTACTACACCGCCTCGATCACAGACCTTGCAAAAGGAATCGTTTTGAAGTATTTAGGTTTTGAATACATAGATTATTCACTCGCCAGATTTTTCCTGTTTCCAAACCTCAAAAGAAATTTGAAAAATGGAAATCTTCGAAAGATTAGGAATTAACAGCAACATTAGGCCAGTATTCCAATGGCTAAACATCAAACATTTTGGAATGGTAACAGAAAATGTAGAAACAATATGCAAAAATTGTCGAATTGCGAAGTGACGACGTGGAATAACAACTACGTTTCATGCCTTCATTATTCCCTTTTGCGTTGGGCAGAGAGCTTTTCAGTGCCCCTTTTCGGGCACATAATGAGGAAAGAGGGCTTGGAGAATCTGATACTCACGGGTCAAATAGAGGGAAAGAGAGACAAGGGAAAGCAGCGCGTGACATACCTGACGAGCTTGAGCAGGTGTATGACAAAACGTGGTCTGGGGGAGGAAGCAGAGGGGAGGAGCTTGCTGAGAGCTGCAAGGGACAAAAGAAGATTGAGAGCCATGATCGCCTACGTCCTGAAAGGATATGGCACATAAAAAGAAAATTCCTTCGTAAATTATATATACGTATTATACGGTGGTAAATACGGTGTATGGTTAGAATATAAGAACTAGTATATGGACAATTTTTCCAATACAACTGACAAAATAATCCGAAAATTCATTATACAAAGAAAAATTATAACCGGAATGCAAAGATATTACTTTAATCTGATACACTAAATCACTACTCAGCTAGTCAAATCTATTCGCCTCATAGTACAATATTATATATATATATATATATAAATTATAATGATGATTGATATCATTTTATTTATTTATTATTATTATTTTTTTTAATTATATATATATATATATATATATATATATATATATATAATATTTTATTTTATTTTTATTTTATTTTATTATTATTATTTATTATTATTATTTTATTTATTTATTTTTTTAGTCCTGGTTCAAATTTATATTTAACCAGAGCTTATATAGGTTTGATTATTTGGGAATTCAGCCAATGAAAATTGGTTTTACATTTACTGCGGTCTCCGTCTGCCTATATAGTTTCCTTGAATTTTTCCCGCCCATTTCTTTTTCCCCCTCCATGGCAGGTGAGTGACTTGCTCTGTTATTGGCCTTCTTTTTTTTTTTCGTTAGGTATTTGTGTTATATTTCGTATTCGGTATGAAGAAAAAAAGGATTATGTAAGAAATAATATCAGTAATTTGCGTCTAAAATCAATGTTCATGTGTGATCGAATCAATATAGGGAATTTAAATAAATTAGTCAGGGTGATTACATCTAAATACGATGCTAATGTATTAATAAATACGATTAGGTGTCCTGATTACGTTTCTTTTTCTTTTTTTAGTAATTGATTGTTACGAATGATTAAAGAATTATAAATTATTGATGTAAGAAATCCTGACTCCTCTCATTATGTAAATCATAATCCCGTCCACGATTTGAGATTATTTATTGAAGAAGAAATGTGTTTAAATGTTTTGATGTGCAGTAATTTTTGTTATATTGTGTCCATCTGATAAACTTCTTTGATTTAATGGAATTTCTTTCAACTTTTCAAAAACTTGACAACAGTCTTTCCTTTCTTCAGCTCTTAGAAGACAAATAGTTAAACATTCTCTTAAGTTTTGAAATAAAAGGACAAGTTAAGAAATTCAATCAAATTTTTTCCAGGAACAAAGAAAAATGCAGATGAAGTTAGAATAAATTAACAAGTTGAAAAAAAGGTGGAAAATAAGTGGAATATTAACACCGGGTAAGATGGTAAAAATCAATTTAAATTGCCGGCGATATGTGTCTGTGTAGAAGGCGAGGATAAACTATTCTTTTTCTACTCGAGAAATTGTGATACGATGCATATTAAATACTACTTAAGCAACACTATATTTTTGGAAAAGATAAAAAAGTCACTTAATTTAACAACTCTGTGTTAGAAGATGAGGTAAAACACTGACACTTGATGTGGTCAAGTTTTAATTTCCATTATCAATCAAGCGTGGTCGACCGATGATAGACTCGTTCTTTCCGTCTATTTGGCCTTTTTCTAATCCTGAAGCCAATCATTTTAACTAAAATTACACAAAATATTTCACTTACTATTTTTTTTCATTATTAACCAGGATAGTTTTCGCTCTTTTTTACTAACTACAACCGAGAGTAATTACCTACTTCTATGAGACCTCTTTTAGTTCGGACTGTCACCTTACCATCCTCAAAAAGTCGTAACAAGGAAGAGGTAAGACTTTCTTAATTTACTGGCCGTTTGTTAATATTGGGGTCTGTCTTTAAATAAGTTCAGGTCACGCTCTTCCCATTACAACCAGTAGCGTTGGTTTCTTTCTTTTAAAAAATCAGCATATTTTACCGAACATTTTTTTTTTTTTTTTCAAGAATGTTGTAACAAAGACTATAATGCAACATTTCAAGTAACATTTACTATTTGAAATTTTACTTCCTGTGTTGTTAGCATCCAGTCATAATTCGTATTATCTGCTATAATGCATAAACACCAGTAGAATTTTGAAAAAATCTTATTTCTGCTTAGCATTAAGCATTTCTTAAAACTGCTATCTGGTTTTGTGTCGACTGCTGTCCGGTTTAAGAGTAACCAAATTAGGTTGTCACTAAGATAAATAAACATTCGTAAATGTTATTTTAGTTTTGTTTTGAAACAAGGACACAAGTATGGAGCAGTTAGTGATTATCGAACTCCCAACTTAGTATTGGTCAACCAAACTAGCATGCTAACCGTTACCCAAATACTGAGGGCTGCACTTATTTTCTAAGCATAGTTTACTTTGAGCATAAAGTCAGAAATCTGTGAAACTTAATGAAGATCGAAGTTACTCTTCAGTAGTAGTGATCTGCAAGTTCAGAAATGTAACAACTAATCGAAGAAAGGTTTTATTTATTCAACTAACTACGACGTAAAATCAAATGGGTGGACGTAAGAGAAGGTAACCTGTCGCACCAATCTTCCTTGTGCGTGTTCAAAATTTACGAGATTTCAACCTTCAACGATCTGTTGTACTGGTGCCTATGTGCTAGTAAACCCCTTCTTCAGCAGGCCCAAGATCATTATTTTAAAACTAAAATAAAAAAAAAATAATTTTTAAATACTCGTATTTACTGAAGTCGGTTAAATAAACTTTCTCTATCTCATGTAATGCCAACTTTCTTAGATACGTTAAACGGAATTGGGAGAAACGACTTTCCACATAAAACTGTAGCCTTGATTATCTATTTATGATAAAGAGAAAAAATGTTGACAGTTTCGTGTCAGGTGGTTCTACCAACGTGTATTGAAAATATAGTAGACAGATTGTCGTGAAACAAGGACATTTTAAGAATTAAAAAACACTGGTATGGCTTCAAATAATCAAAGAGACAACTGCAAATCTGGTGATGATAGATAATGAGGAAATAAGTTTTTGAAAATTCAACACAACCAGTATTTTAGAAGTAATAGAAAATATATATTTTTTACTATTACACCGCCTCCCTTATTGACCTAATGTATATGATCAATTTTACCCTTACAATACCGTCACTGGCCAGTTGGCGACTTAAAAAGCATAAAATAATAGTTAGGGATGAGTCGGGTGTAATGGTAAAATAATAGAGAAAACAGACAGAGGGTTATGACACATTTGAGTAAATGTATAGAAGGACAATCACCAGACAAGTGGGGTTCATAATGGAGCTAGTACTGCTGAAAGTAACAGGAAGCTGTGTAGAGCCATTATCGCCAATATAATGAAGGGTTGCGACACACACACACACACACACATATATATATATATAGAGAGAGAGAGTGTCATCCACAGACAGTTTCGCTGTATCACAGTTCATTATTGTGGCTAGACATCTGATTGCTTTAAGCCGGGATCGAAACCCGACTGATTCGGCAACATTCGGAGATTTTCCATATATATATATATATATATATATATATATAGATAGATAGATAGATAGTAATGGGTTTTTTTATTTATAAAGCAGATTTTATCACATTAAACCTTATTTGCAGCGGATACCATATTTGAATAGACGCTCCGTTTATTTATTAAAACAGCATATTTACTTTAGTCTACCGGTCTTGAATATTTGAGAAGTCTTTTTAAAGAAAAATGTGCTCTCTTCGAACCGGCAACCCTCTGGGCAAAGGGAAACCGTCGTTAGATCCAAGTGGCCGAGTTGTGTGTGTGTATATATATATATATATATATAATAAATATATAAATAATAATATGCACGCATGTGTGAGAGGGAGATGTCATCTATCATGAAACGTTTTGATGAATCATATACATGCAGCCGTATTCAGCGGAGGAGAGAAAGAACATGGTATTCTCACAGTTCATCAGAATATCTTCAATGACAGGTTTATATTATTAGCTTGTTTATCATAGCTTAAGTAGAGATGGTTTTAAAGCCGTTTCACTGGTGTGGTTGAAGTCTGCACATTTCCCTCATATACATTGCAATTGCGACGAGTTAGTGTCCTGTCGAGCATCACGTCAAAATCGGAGATCTCGTCATTAATACGAGTTAAAACTCCAGCTTAAAATCTATTCTTGGATAGGCCGTTAGTGGTTAAGCTCAGCTTAGATCAACACAAGGTCAACTGAGAAAAACTGGAGGTGAGCTGGGATATTTTGTAATAAGTGTGTGAAAACTGGAACCGGAATAGTTCAAAATCCCGCTTTTCGCTGGTAACATTGTCACACCCTTTATACAAGGGGGCTGTTGAAAAGAAAATCTGAGAAAATGACCAAACATCAACATTTTATTTTCTAATGTCATCTTCATCGAGCTAAGAACTTTTCAGCATAATGTTGTACTAATATTTATATAAGGAAAAAACTTCCTTGTTTGAAAGGTCACCACTAGAAAACTTATTTTCACAATCTCTATCACTGCTGACTGAGAGCAATTTCAAAAGAACTGATTTATTTTTTTAATCCGACGATTACGCTCAAATGGATTTATATAATTAAAATATCATTATTAGAACATTATAATTTTATAAAGCTATAAAATCACTGCAACTTCTTTTAATTTTTAGTAATTTTTTAAAGCTTATTTTCGCCGAGCAACATTTTTGCGAATGTCGTCCTATTTTCTCTCTAACGATTTCTTAAGGAATGTCGTCACATATTTGTTTGTATTGATGTTAAGATGTAGTGGTTGAAGTTTTATTAGTTTAAAAAAAATAAGTTTATAAAAAGTAGAAATTTCAATTTAAACCGGCTAAAATGTTTCTCCTTCAAATATTTGACCAGTTGTCTCCCGTAGTTCTTTAATAAAATTAATCGTCAACTTCATGCTCATGCCTGTAAAATAGGTTATAATGCTTCTTTGACACAAGGCGCGACTGGTAGTGAAAGATATTGAAAAGACTTTAGAAGGAATCTGTAAATCGATCCTAAAGAGGAAACAAAGGATAAAACACTTCTCGTATTCAAAGAAAAACATGGGAGGACTGAACTGGACGATAGACGAACCTATCTACTCTCATTGAGGAGAAAAAAAATTAGTGAATAAAATAAAGACATAAGAAGTAGAGAGTTGAAGCAGTTCTTAGAAGGAAACGGAAGCCCAATCCTAAACAGTAAACAAGTGATAAATCTCTATTACTTTTCGAAGGAACGATAATAAGTGAGAATCGGACAGTAGAAGAACCTATCAACTCCTATTGCAACAAAAAAAAATCTACTTTTCTTTGTAGAAAATATTGTAGTATTCAGGAAACGAATCCTGATCTGTAGGTGTAAATTTAGAATTGAAATACGTTCTTTGTGGGATTCAATTCCTAGGAAAGAAAAAAATTCTACAAACATATTGCAGTTTATCATGGATACCTATATATTAGTAGCGTAGTATCTACCTGCCTTCCAATGTGATGCGTGCCATGCTCCAAAAGAAAAATGGTAAGTTTCACTAACCATAAAAGGTTATAGATAAGTAATAATCTCAAGATAACAAGCCTATTTGTTTATCTTTCATTTCTATCCCTTCCTTCTTTCTTTACAATCTCTCTTTCATTTTTATTTATCTATCCGATTTACCTTCTAACTATTTTCACACCTTATTTTATCTCCTCTTTCACCTTGTTTCTGCCAGTTCTGATC